CCACCCCCCCCGCCATCCTGAGGCGAGCCATAGCACCATATTGAGCGAAATAACAAAGGAGGCTGAGGATGGGGCTTCGGGGCACAGCTGAAAGAAATAACAACAAAGCCATTTACGTGCAGCAGGGCGAAATCTTTGAAGAAACCCAATGGGCATGCCAACAGCTCAAAGGCGAAAGCATAGAGCAAAAGGAGCGCAAGAGCAATGGCGAATGGAAAGTAAATTCAAATACGAAGCTAATAAGTACCCTATACAGAGCAGACTCTACCTCTCTCTCTCTCTCTCTCTCTCTCTCTCTCTCTCTCTCTGCATGCCCGACCCACAGAGCGGGCAGCTTGCAGCTGGAGTTCCTATATATATATAGATTGATTGCCATTTTGGTTCAACTTTAGTCAAGGGCATCTGCTAGCCGTGCATGCCCGACCAGAGTCTTTGTGCCTTGCTGCGTGGAAAAGGTAAGGCCAAAGGCAAGGCCAAATCGTCGAAAAAGGATTGCAAAGCACATGTGAGTCAAGGATATTTCCAGCGTTATCAAACTGCGTGCACAAATACACATAAATGCGTATACGTGCGCGCGTGTGGTTGCGTTTGTGCGTGTGTATTTGTATCAAGCTGTTGGTATTTTGTTATTGCCTCAAGTGATTTACAGTAAAATTTGAATACGCAGCAGCTAACCCACCTGCAGGCGGGCAAACACATCTAACCGGAAGCGGAAGTGCTTCTAACTGTAGCTGCTGCTGTAACTGTAACTGTAACTGTAACTGAATAAGAGCTGAGCTTACCCAAGCCATAAGCAGCAAGTTCATATGTTAACGAGCACTCAATGTGCATTACCTGGCTGCACCTGGCGCCGCACGCAAAGCCATTGGCCATTTTGATATTTTAAATATGAATTTGGGCAATTGCTTAGGGCTGCTGCCACTGCTGCTGCTGTGGCGAGCAGTGTTGACTTACATCATAAATATAAATCACTCCAGGTGCTCCGCATGCGACTTGAGTCCGAGACCCCGAATTCCACATGACAGCTCGAGCCGTGCCCAATTCAATTGCCCGTCCACTGATTCTTGATCACGTTCCAACGCACAAAAATGCAATTATAATGCCTGCATGTGAGCCACATATCTGCCAGCTTGTTCCCACACACACACACACACTCTCTCTCTGCCATCTCTTTTTCTCTGAGCACAAAGCTAAAATGCAGAGATTGCTGCCAACTGTTAACTGGGAACTGTAGGAAATTGTCAATTTATTGGGGTACATCAAAAATTCGAGCTCATCAACTATCACTGATAGTCAAAGGGTTGTTTTAGTTAATGCTCCAATTTTATGTCTTATTCATCATCTCTTCACATCCCAAGTTGAAACAATTTGTGGGATTTTCTCGTTAGCTTCTAAAAGTAACAAACCTGATTTATATAGGAAAAATTCTTCATCTTCTCTCTTCTTGACTTTTGCTCTTGATACTCTCGACTATTCAACCCACTATTGTCGACTCTCCTATCGATGGTTCTTAAATAACTAGCCTCATTATCGTTTATTCATTTTGACTGAGCCGAGTGCATGTTCCAGTCGAGCATTGCCGACCAGCGCACTCTTGCGTGTTTTATTAGAAAGTCTCTTTGTATGCGATAGATGAAAATATATGCTCTGTACGTCAGTAACGTATGGCAGACCTATTGCTAATTGGCTCAGTGGGCAACGTCCTTCCCATGCAGTCTTCCAACTTGACCGTTATCCTTATATATGCATGATGCATGCAATGGCCAACGAGTCGACTGTCATTTATTGCCATTTGCAACAAATATATGAAAATATATGACAGATTTTTACTGCTTCCAGCGAAACACATCAATGTCTGTCCACGTTACAGTGGGGCTAAATCAATTCGTTCCGCCTGGTTTTCAGTGTGTTAAAGTAGTGCATTGCCGAGTCTCTCTGCGTATCTCGAGCCACTTGAAATGATTCGTAGTCAGGCCAATATAGTAGGTATCTATATAGATATAACAGCCTGAACTTGAAACTAAACTGCATTTGCTCTGTGCTAGAGTAGAGTACATCCAAATCAACAACATCTAATTGGCCTCAGAGCGTATTCAGCGGAGCATTCAATTCGTGCTCCAAAAGCCTATCTGTAGCTACTTGAGCATATTTCCGCGTATATAGTTGATGATTTGAAGTCAGGTCGTTGCTATGGCAAGTCAAATTAGAAGATTTTATACATTATTGAGTGGTACTCACGGATATGGCGACTGTCTGAAGAATGTTTTGAGCATTTCCCAATAAAAAAAAAAAAAAAAGAGAAAAAATAAATGAAAAACTTCAATGGACGGCAGGAAATCAATTTAGCCGAATTTTACAAAAGAATTTACCGGGCTGGGCGGTGGAGGGTGGCCGCATAGTCGGTGTTTCGCTTAAAGTCATTCAACTTGAGTCGAAGCCGAGGTGAAGTGAACTACTAATTGTTGCCCAAACGACGAAAGGACGAATCACAGGAGGAGCCAAAGAACAGCAACGATAACAAGGCACACGAGGACAAAGCAACAATCACTACATATATATATATATATATATATATATGAAATATATATAAATATAAAGTTATATATATAGATACTCATAATCAAATAAGGACACAATCGAAATCATAACCACGGGGGAGCCAATGGCACAGCGCAGGAATTAATAGACACAACAAAGCTCATAAATAAATCTATGAAACTGATAAGGAAATTGCATTTGTGTAGGCACAGCTGGAGGAATGGCAACAAGCAGTGTATCTATATATCATATAAGATATGGAACATATGTATGTGTATTTGTACGTGTGTATGTGGAGCACGCATAAAAGTTAATGACTTTTGACATCTTTCGCTGCAGTCAATGGCCGCAAGTCAAGACAAGAAATTAAATCAAAAAGCATAAAAACGAAACCAAAAACAAATAACAAAACCAAAACGCGTAGTTAAAGCCATAAAACAAATTTTATATTGCACTTTAGTAAGCGGGGATAAGGCGAATTGGTTGCAAAGTTTGTTAATAGATCATAAAATATACAATATACATCAGATATTCCATCATATGGGCTTGAAAATGTGTATATAAATTAATAGAGATATTTAAATTCAATTGAAACATATAAAAGATAATAATAATTAACTGTATTAAAATAATAAAAAATAATACAAAATAAATATAAACAAACATTCTATGAGTAAAATAATATATGTAATAAATATACAAATTAAATAAAAATTATATTACATTAAATAAATATAGGAAATAAACAAAATTATGAATCCAAAATAATATTAATAAATATGAAAGAGAAATATATAATAAATAATAAATATATAAAATAAAAAACAAATAAATTTAAGTATAATAAAAAAATATTTTTAAAATAAATGTATGTATATTAATTTATATACAAATAAAATTAAATTAAATATTGATAGAAAACAAAAAACTACAAGTTAAATAAAAGTGATATAAAATAATAAAAAATTATAATAATAAAAAATAATATAAATAAATATAAAAGAAAAATATATAAACCAAATTTATAAATGATTGAAATAAAAAGTAAATAAAATGAAGTATAATAATAAAAAAAAATAAAAATAAAATATATATAAATATATGTCTATTAATTTATATACACATTAAACTAAATTAAATATGGAAAGAAAATTTTAAAAATAAATATATATTAAACTAAATTTAAATAAAATAATAAACTAAAAATAATATATATATACAAAATACAAGTATAAGCCAAATTTATAAATGATGCATACATTTACATTTATAAATGTACATATTGCATATTATTAAGTCTAAATTTGAATCATAATTACGAGAATATACTCTTTGAAAAATATTAACAAAAGTAAGTTTCAAGAAATTCTAGGAAGCTTTAAAAAATATTCCATAAGCATTTATATTTATTTTATCAATTATCGATGCTCTTTCAGGCCAAAGAGCATCAGAGATTCGATGCTTGCATAAACGGCAGAGCAGCGCCAAGTTGTGATTGAGTGACTGACTTGGTTAAGCGGTAGCCAGCTAGCGAGCGAGTGAATGAATATTTCGTGAGTGTTGCGCTAAAGTGTCAAACACCCAAAGCAACCGGGTCGAATACAGCAACAGCTGAGCGCGGACCAACAATGCAAGAGGCCAAGTGGAAAACAAAGCGCCGTTCCCACTGCTCATATGATGAAAAGCAAATAGCAGCAGCAACAACAACAACAACAACAGCAGCAGTTACAGTAAGACTAGCTATGCAAACCGCGTCGGCTGCAGGGGCGATGTAAACAAATGGGAATGCGCAGACGCACGGATAACGCCAACGTTTCGGATAAGCGGATAAAACAGCAGTTGCGGATAAAACAGTGCTAGCCTGCTGGGAACAGCAGCAGCAGCAGCAGCATAGGCACTAAAAACAGCGAAAGCGGCAACAGCAGCAGCTGTAGCAGAGGCAGCTGAGGCAGCAGAGGCAGAGGCAGCACTAGCAGTAGAAGCAGCAGCAGTAGAAGCAGCAGCAGCAGAAGCAGCAGCAGCAGCAGCCACAACCAAAATCGTCGCCTAGAAAACCGTTTCGAATATAACCAACGAAATTTGTTTGTTTTGATTCAGTCGTTTCGGGTGTTTAAAGGCGAACGGACAGCCAGGAGCGAGCTGCTCAGCGTAAAAGGCGTTTCTCCCACTCGGCATTAACATTAAACAAATAAACCAAAAGCCAAACGAACAAAAAAGCATAAATAAAAAAATAAAAACACATAAATATTGAAGTTTTTCTAACAAAGTGCGTAGTCAAAAATTCCTTTCAATTTATGCTTTTTTTTTTTTTTTTTTGTTTTGTTTTTTTTTTTTTTTTGCGGCCCCCCACAAATGCGGCACATCAAAAAAACTAGATAAAAATAAATGTTTTCAAAATGTTTATTTTTGTTTAAATCTTTCGAACAATTGCTAGAAGAAGAAAAAACGAATTTATCCAAATCTGTAAAAAATATAAAAAAATAAACAAGACAATATTTTACTCGAATTTTTTTTTTTTGTATTTCTTTGGTGTTAAAGTGCAGTGCTTCACATAATATTCGAGGGGCAGCTGAAAATGCTATTCACAGGTAAATTTTTACGAATATTTTTCTAAAAATTTCCACAGCAGCCGCAATTGTTGGCAGCTCAGACAATCGCTATCGCTGTCTGTCTCTGCCCCTGCCCCTGCCCCTGCCCGTGCCCTTGCCCTTGCCCTTGTCTAACCGAAATCATATTTAGCTAATGCTATTTATGAAATCTCTAGACAACTATTTCCGGAGTGAGGTGTGGGCTGCTGCTATATTGCCTGGCAGGTAAAGTTCTTTATGCTTTGTCTTCAAAGCGGAAAGGAATTTGCCATTGGCACCGCCACTATCGCTGCTATGTTAGAGAACCATACAAAGACTCCCACACACACACACACATAGATTCCATATAAATATCGCCGACACAATTCACATTCAGCAAAAACTAATTAGCAAATGCCAAATATTTATTTTTAATTAACGTCTCTTTGTCTGCTTTTGTTTTTTGATTTTCAGTTAATTTCGGGAAAAATGTATTATTAGACTGCCTTTTCGACAGGCATTTTCCATTTTCAATTTTCCATCGAGGCACGCGCCTAGAAAGGTTTCTTAATTCAATTAAAAACTTTAATAAAAACAAAAGTTTTTATAGCGCGCAAAGGCGGCTTCATGTAATATATGCAAGAACGTGCGGCCGCCTGTTTTTAATCATTTCTCCCCACCTATGTGGCTTGAATCTGCTGCTTATTCTTCTTCCCTTTGTTTTTGTTAATTTTGACCAGCCTTGTGGGCGAGCACAGTGGGCACAAAGAAAGCTGCCTATATGAATGCTTTGTGCATAAGCCTCAGTGGAAACTCGATGCAGGCAGGCAGCACAAACTATATCCTTAGATATCGGTCGTATTGATATGGTCGTACTCACATAGTAATAGAGCTGAAGTTCAGATATAAGTTTAGGAAAGATTAGATTCAGATTAGGTAAGATACTTGTATTAAGAAAAATATGTAATATATTTGTCTTGGGTATATTTGGTATATCTACATATATTGAAGAAAAAAAAAAAAAAGTTCAGGCAACTCAGCTGGCTTCGAGCTCTATTTTTACATAGTTATTGTTTCAATTGAAGTGACTTCTGTTGAAAAATTATTAAAAATAGAATTTAAAGAACATAATATTATAACAATAAAAACTCTGCTTGTAATTAAATCAATGCACGGCAGGAAGCAACACAAAGAACCAGAAGAGGAAGCAGAGGCTGCTGCCTGTGTGTGGTCTGCATACGCGTGAGTGAGACGTTATTTTACAACAAATATCATGCATCTTTAATATTGCAGCAACATTTGCAGAATTGAAAACCTAGTTTTATTTACGTTTTTGTTCAGCTGTTGCTTCGATATCCTCATTAGCTGCTCAATTTTAGTATAGCCTAGCACAGAGTCCGCCTTTCATAGGCTTCTGCAGAATGAGTCTGGGCAATACGCCGAATGCAGCAAAATAAGGGATTTATTTTTGGACTCAAATCTGCTATTGATTCTTTGCTGCATACCAGGAAATGGGCAAAGGGCATTGAAACAGCTCCACGATGAATAGAATAGAGAATAGAGAGAAACCGAGAATTGAAAAAATTCTCAATACTTAACAAAAAATGAGCATTAAATAAATTATTGTCTGCTGGGGTAAAACTATTAAGGGTTAAGTATAATGCATATATACAGCACACTGTACTATAAGTATATATATACTATAAGTATATATATTTATATATAATACAATATATAAAATATATTTTATTCAGCTATATTTCTGTTCAGCTTAACTGCTTAAAATCCAAGTGATTTTATTAAAATTTATTAAATGTAATTTATTCAAATGTTAACTCAAGTTTCGCTTGAAAATAAACGTAATGCAGCCACAGTTCAGAGCTTTTGGCTGAAGCCTCTTTCAAGTGCAGGGCACACACAGTCCACGCTTATTATTTTATTTGTTCGTTTAGCAGATCTTAATGAAAAAATAGCAAATTTTTCAATTAAATTTTATTCACTGCCGCAGCCGCAGTCGCAGTCGCTGCCACTTCATCTGGCACTGCGTTGCAGCTGGCCGTGGAAGCTGCAACTTTTCGAGAATCTCTCTCTAGTTGACGAGGTTTTCGCAGCCCCCGAGCTGCCAGCGTTGTGCCACTGTAAAGTCGCATAAGAAAACGACTCTGAAATGCATGAAGCAAGTAATAAAACTTATGAGTTTTTCTTTATTTTTTATTTTTTTTATATTATTCTTGCTCACGCAAAATAAAATAGAATCTTCAGTTAAAAACTTGCCCGGCAGTAATATTTGCTTGACTTTTCTCAGGGCTTCTCTGCTTTGCCTTCGGCTCCATTAGCTAACTAAACTATGGGTGGCCAAAATCAACTTTTAATTTAAATTATATATATGTATATTTTTTTTCAATAGTTTTTTTTTAGCTATTTATGTTTTTTGCTGTAATGAAATGGTGAAATGATGCGAGAGCAAAGTTAAATATTTTTAGTTAAGTTTATGGCTTTGTATATATATGAGGTTTCTATGTGCATATAATTGGCAGATATATATAAAAGATTTTATTTATTTATTTATTTTCTCTTTTTTTTTTCATTTGTGCTGGTAATTGAAATTTCAAAATTTATTAAGAAACTTAAAGTATATTTTTGAATAGGTTTTAGTTTCTAATGCTCTATATTTTAAGTGATTTTCGAATGTTCAATTGAATGCTGATTTAAAATTCAAATAAAAATATATATAAATATATATATATATTTTTTTATAATAATTTTGCATACATCAATATTAGGAATTTCTACAAAATAGAATTAATATACTATTATCTTTTTTTTTTAATATTTTATATTTATATACATTTAATTCATATACACTCAATTATTCATATGAAAGGGAATTGGGGCACTCGACTTGCCATTGGCGGACACAGCCGCTTCGAAAGTTTTTGCTCTGTAGCTTTTCGTGTCATGTTGGCAAAAGTGTGCAAAAGTGTCGAAAGGACACAATTCATATGGCAGGATGCTGGCAGGATGTTGCCCAGTGTTGCCGTTTAGTGCCCCGTTAGATTTGCATCCGATGCAATCGAGTATTTTCATCGATTTTTGCACCAGCTGAGATCTCATTTAAATTATTTCTAATGCATTTGCTGAAAATACGTTTACGTTGCAATTAGGACGAAGTAAGCTGCCAAAATCCAATTGCCACGCCAGCTGAATGAAGGCACAAAATTCGATTTGATTCGAACCAAATCGAATCGCACTAAACCGAACCGTAGTGTACCATAACGGAGTTCATATATGTATGTACGTTCGAGTGGCACACGTGCCGCACATTTAAATCAATACGGTCATTAACATTAATGAACCAAGTGGCGTTAAACTGGTTGGCAGGACCTTCGGCATCCTCGACTCTGTTGGCCAAAAGCGAAAGAAAGTCAGCTAAATAAATAATACATGGTGAATACCCTGTAAAAGTTTAGAGCAAAGAGCGATAGATTAAGAGAGAGAGAGAGAGAGAGAGAGAGAGTGAGAGCTGGGTCGATAGATGGATGGATAGCTGGTTAGACAGATAGATAGATTCATCGATTGATTGATAGACAGATAAATAATGATAAACACAAATAAAGACGAATCGATATAAAGATTTATACTGCAGACATATATAAAGTTTGGGCGGAAAACACTGAAAGACGTAACTAAAATATTTTAAAAACAATCTCTCGATTCAGACGAATAAGTGATGATACCAGAATGCCTAACTGAACCAATTTCTCAATACTTTCAGCACCTATCATAAATACTTCCATAAGTATAAGATATGCCAATTGACTAGAATCCTCAGACTGAGATGTCTTTAAGAATTAAATGAATGAATAGTATTCACTCAATATTATATGAGTTCTATTTTAGGATATATATATATAGAGGTGACAATAATAGGAATGAGCTCGCATTTATCATTATTGTGCAGGATTTTCCCCACGCTTCAATTTGTGAAATTGTATCAAAATTCAGATTAAAATTTTACATCTCAGGCTTCTGAGATAGATAGTAGATAAATAGCATATATCCATCATATTCCTCACAGCCATCTACCACCCCCAAGCATATCCCTCAATTCCCACCTAGTATTTACTTTTCAAACATACAAATTCTAGAAGAAATGTAAGCCTATTAGCCGAAACAGCTTAGTTTATCTTCTCAGGTACGAATCCTGCCTGTAAGCGCATCACCTATTAAAGCTTTGCCACAGGTAACACAACAACAACAACAAAGGCAAAAACGAAAACAAGAGCAGTTTCAAACATCAAGAAACAAAGTCAACAAATACCTGTATATATAAGCATTTGATGTTTGACCTGCGGCTAAGCCATACGGCGCACACGAACCCAATGAAATATGCAGGACTATCGAAAGGGGAAAACCCAATTGGCAAGCATATTTTCCTCTTTACGCAGAACTGCAGCACAAAAACTGTGGCAAAGGCAGCTGGAAAATCGAGCAAAACCAATGCGAGAAACCGAAACTGAATTTAAGCAAAGCGTTGCCAAAGCCCGCAAAGCAAACCCTTTTCGTTGGCTGACCTTGACCCCATTGCCCCCATTTACCGCCCCCCTACATTCACTTCACTCTCTGGGGGCGCGAATTATTGAAAGAAAAACATTAAGAAGAAATAACTTTGGCTTTTCTTGCCGCTTGGCTCATAACTTTCTTGCCTGTTTGCGGTCAGTTGTTGGCTTACTTGCTTTTGGCCATTTCATTTGTTGTTGCTCGTTGTTCGTTGTTGCTCGTGACCACCCCCCTGCCCTCCCGCAAGTGAGCGTGTGTGCGTGCGCTTTTGTCCCCGCCGCTTTGTGCCCTGACTGGTTGCGTTTAATGGCACCTGTGGCTGCCGGCTGCTAATCATGATTTTAATGACCTCCAGCAGCGGCTCAGCCCGACCCCGACCCCCCGGCCACAGTCCGGCTGGGACGGATTTCGTGTTTGCGAGTGACTCGCTGAAAGGTTGCTGTTCCCTTGGCTGCTGCTGC